TCTTGACCATGGCCTGGAGGTACGCAAGCTGCTTGGCCATGGAGGCGGTGTCGGACTGATCCTTAGATGCCTTAGGTGAGCTCGTGGACTTGGTCGCAGGGCTCCCTTTGGGCGTTTTGTGGCCACCGTAGCAGACTCCTTTATGTAGGTTGCATTTGGAGCACTCTTTGAGGTCGCCACGGTTGACCCACGGCGTGCCGTCCCTCGTGACGCACTGCTTGCAGCGCCAGGGGTCAGCAGCGAGGCGGCGCGACATGGCGGCGCCGTGACGGATACAAGGCCAATCAGGCCGCAGAAACCGTTTATGGTCAAGGAGCCCTGGGGACGCCACCCAGGAAAACCCAGAAGCCAAAGCTTGGCTTGAGCCAAAATGGCTTGAGCCAAAATGGCTTGAGCCAAAATGGCTACGGAAAAGGAGGAGGAGGCGGAGGAGGAGGAGGAGGAGGCGGAGGAGGAGGAGGAGGACGAGGAAGAGGATGAGCAGCAGCAGCAGCATGAGCAGCGTCGCTACTACCGCCGCCACTTGCAGAAGCAGCAGTTTGAGAAAAGAAACACCTTCGCGGTATCTAGATAGGGTTCGCGATGCCCTCACCCATGCTCGCTCCCTGGCCTCATCACAATGGGCTGGGGCAGGAGGCCAAGGCGAGGACGAACCTGGGAGCAAACGACGGTAGTGGGATGATGGGGGCAGAGGGAGCGTGGACCATGGGAACTTCGCTACCACCCCGAACGGGGCTGATGCAACGAAGAGGAGGGCGAGTCCCGATTAGCGCTGGTCCCGCCCGGTACCCGTGCAGGAACGCTTCCCCCCCCCGCACGCCTGGGGAGGCGCACGGGCAAGGGGGAGCTCCCGCACCGTGCATGTGATACGGGGGTCCTCCCCGAGGCTGCCAGGATAACGGGGCTGCAACGTGTGGGCGCCGCATCGCCTACCGCAGCGGCCCCCCAGCAGCAAATCGGGCACCAAAAGCTGCGCACCTGCGTGGCCAGCGAGTGGCGCCGCGGGGCGCGCAGCCCCTGGACCGCGTCGGGGAACGAGCCATGGGGATGGGGGTCCCGCTCTGAGCCGCACGGGGGCACGAACCGTGACGAAACTGGGCGGGTGGGCCCAGAGGAAGGTTCGCCGAGGCTCGAGCCTTAAGTCGGGCGTGTCCCCTTACAGGGGGATTCTCGACGAAGGATAAAAAACCAAACGATTATCAAAAAGGGCTAAAAACATCCTCAAACATCGTCCCCCGGCCATGTTCTGACTATTTCTGAACATTCCCCCCGTAGAGGGACAGGCCCGACTTCACTCGAGCCAGCGGCTGTGGTGCGCGTGCGGACGGGGGACGGCCGCGACGACGGTGCCGACGGCGAGGGAGAGGGCGGCAGCCGCGGCCCTCGACGCTGGGGCGCACGAGCGATGACACTCCTGCCCCCCTCGACGGTCGCAGCCGCGGAAATGGCGTGGGCCACTCTTAGACGAGCGTGTTCCACTACTCGCAAAGTACTCCAGATTTCGTAATAAAGGGAGGGGGGTCTCATTTCGGGAGGGGGTCTCTTCCAGGCTATCTTGGAGGGCCTGGGGGGTCTGGGGACGATGTTTTGGAGGGTTCTCCCACGGGGGAGGTCTGAAATGGCTTGTCTTGGAGGGTCCAGACCCCCTCCCTTTTATTACGAAATCTGGAGTACCTGCTCGCAAATGGCCTGGATCCGCCGCGGGGTATCCACGATAAATCACATCAGAGCAGGCATGTGTGTTTTCGAGCGTTTGCGAGTAGGCACTCTGCGAGTAGTGGAACGCGCTCGGTGAACTCTGAAGACAGGGGGGCGTTGGAAATGTCAATGAGACGGTGCAAGCCGTCTTGGCAATATACAGCCTCTGCCGGGGCGGCGGCAGCAAAAGACAGTCTGTTGCACAGGTGAGAGGGCCCGGCGCGCCACCCGAATTCACCAGCAGGGTTTGCATCGCAGGCTGGAGGACGCAACGCTGTCCTGCGAACGCGGCCGAAACTCAAGGCTCAATTTTTGGGAGGCCCGCATCTGTCCTGGCCTTGTGGCCGATGAGCGGGGACCATACCCTAGCCGCGAGCTCAGATTCTAATAGTAGCGCTCGTGGAGCGAACAAAGCCTGCCACCCCCCCACACCCCAACAAACATCAGCGTGGAGTCTCGCTCCGTGAAGATTATACTGACAGGCTCAGCCCCCCTTACACCTGATGTCGTACTGCCACGAACGGCGACAGCAGCAGAAAAAATGGGGACGCCAGTAGATGGACAATACATTCGAACCCTTGCACATTCGAGGGAGACTCTAAATCACCCCCGCGCCCCCGACATCAATCTTGATCTCAGGAAAGGCGCTGCTTGGGGTTCGAATATTTCCGTCCACTCGGGGCCCCCCGTCGCCACGCCATCGATATATTGATTTCGGGGGGGTCTGGGGGGCATCTTGGGCCGCAGGGTTCGAAGATTGTGTCCATGTACGGTCCCGCCCCAGCGCCGCGCTCCTTCCTCTACATAAGGAGGAGGAGGAGAAGGAGGAGGAGGAGGAGGAGGAGCAGGAGGAGGCGGAGCAGGAGGAGGAGGAGGAGGAGGAGGGAGGAGGAGGAGGAGGAGGAGGAGGGAGGAGGAGGGAGGAGGAGGAGAAGGAGGAGGAGGAGGAGGAGGAGGATGTACGGTCCCCCCCGTCTCTCCCCCATCGCTCCTCAGGACCCCGCCCCTCCGTCCCCCCCCTCCCTCGACCCCTGCCACCCTCGCTCCCCCCCTCGCCCGCCCATCCCCTAAAAGCCCCGTCAGGGCTGAACCTAACCGGTGTTCTTCGTTTTCGTTTTTGCTTTCGTTTTCCCTCGTTTTGGTCTCGAATCCTCCTGCACCGCAAAACGACCTCGAAACGAAAACGGCCCACGAAATCGCCAGAAACACCGCGTGGGTCCAGCCCTGTCCCCCGTCATGCGAGCTTCGCTTTTTCAACACACGGTCCTGGAAGCCCCCGACCCCTTCCCCGGGGCTGGTTGATGATCCCCGGTCGGATTTTGACGGTCCCAGGCCCCGGCGAGGGCCCCCGGATGCCGAAAACAGCCAAGCACCGCCCGTCGTGAATGCTTCACGGCGCAAGCATGTCTGGGCCGCCCCGTGGCCGCTTGGCCAAGGCCCGCTTCGGCCAGGAGATCTCCCCCCAGACCCCCGGCTCCATGAACTTTGCTCATCGCGTCGACCCCCGAAGGTCTCGACCCCTTCCCCGGGACCAGCTCTTCATCCTGAGTGGTTTTTGTTACGACCTCGAGGCCCAAACAGGGCCCCGAAAATAGCCGGAAAACCTGTCGCCGTGATTGCTGCATGATTCGAAGGAGTATGGGCCTCCCCCTCCTCCCACGCGAGAGTACTTGACCATGGTCCGCTTCGGCCAGGAGCCTTGGCGGCAAGCACGGGGGGGAACTTCAATGGTGCGGGCCTTCTCATAATGCTCGGAAGGCCTCAGAGAACTTCGCAAAGGCCGGAGGGCTTCTGAGAAGCCCCGCCGCCTTCTGAGAAGGCCTCCTCCTTCTCACTTCCCCCCCTCGCTTGCCGCCGAGAGGAGGTAGGAGGAGGAGGAGGAGGAGGAGGAGGAGGAGGAGGAGGAGGAGGAGGAGGAGGCGGCGGAGGAGGAGGCCTGAGGAGGAGAAGGAGGCGGAGGAAGTAGAGGAGGCGCAGGAGGACGAGGAGGCGGAGGAGGAGGAGGAGGACCAATGTAAACTCAGGGCCCATCAACGATGCTGGAATACACCCTCCCTCAAAGCTCCCTCTTTATAGGCCCCTGCGCGAAGTCATTTCCACTAAGGGATTTGCCCCGCTGGGGGACAACCGTGCGAAAATGATGAAGCGTGTCCAAACATCATTTTCAGGACTTCAACGCCACGGCATAACCTGACTGTTACGACGTGGCGACCCTGAATCGTGCCAGAACATCGTTCCTGGAACTCCAACAACGCGAATCAACGTAACTGTTGCGCTCCGACAACCCTGAGTCTCTGCAATACAGCATCTCTGGTGCGTTAACCATGAGAAGCAATAGCAAATTTGCAAACTGTTTAAACGAATGCGCGCGGGGCTTTTGCGAGAACCACATGTTGAAAAGGAACCACCCTCAATCCGTGAAGCTCTTGCAAGCGTGTAGAACGAGTGTGCGTACAACCACATTTTGAAAACGGCCCGTCCTAAATCCGTTAGGCACTAACAAACTTTTAAACGAATGATCCGTGCGTTCATGCAAAAAACACATGTTGAAAACGGCCCGCCCTCAATCCGTGAAACTCCTACAAGTGTTTGCAACGAAGGTTCGCGGCGCCAAGGCGGGAACAAGATTTTGAAAACGACGCGCCCTCAATCCGTGAACCTCTTGCAAGTGTTAAGAAGCGAATTCGCGATGCGCTAAGGCGAGAGCCACATTTTGAAAACGGCCCGCCCTCCATCCTTGCAATTGTCGCCCCTTCTTAAGCTTCAGGATCAAAAACTGTGAGGAAGGCTCAAATGGAGCGCCAGGCCCGCCGTTCGGACCGGCCTCGAGGTGCGAGGGGGAGGAGTTCTCTATAAGGAAAAAGAATGGAGGCAGAGGAGGAGGGGGAGGAGGCGGAGGCGGAGGAGGAACAGGAGGCGCAGGAGGAGGAGGAGGAGGAGGAGGAGGAGGAGGACGAGGAGGCGGAGGAGGACGAGGAGGAGGCGGAGGAGGAGGAGGAAGAAGAAGCGGAGGCGGAGGGGGCAGAGGCGGAGGAGGAGGAAGCGGAGGCACAGGAGGAGGAGGAGGAGGAGGAGGAGGAGGACGAGGAGGAGAAGAAGAATGCAGAGGTGGAGGAGTAGGAGGACAAGGAGGAGGGGGAAGAGGAGAGGAGGAGGAGAATACAGAGGTGGATGAGGAGGAGGAGGAGGAGGAGGAGGAGGGGGAGGCAGGACGGGAGGACGACGACGAGGCGGAGGACGAGGCGGAGGAGGAGGAAGCGGAGGCGGAGGAGGAGCGGACCCCCCCTCAGCAGGCGCCGGGCCTTCGGCGCGGGGGCGGGCCTCGCGGCGGGCGCACCGCCACCGAGCGAGGGGAAATCCTGCGGCGGGGCGGCGCGGCGGAGGGGCGCACGGCGCAGCGACAGAGGCAGACGAGAGGAGGGGGAGGAGGAGGAGGAGGAAAAGGAGGAGGAGGAGGGAGGAGGAGGAGGAGGAGGAGGAGGAGGAGGAGGAGGAGGCGGAGGCGCAGGAGCAGGAGCGGGGGAGGAGGAGGAGGAGGAGGAGGAGGAGGAGGAGGAGGAGGAGGAGGAGGAGGAGGAGGAGGAGGAGGAGGAGAGGAGGAGGAGGAGGAGGAGGAGGAGGAGGAGGAGGAGGAGGAGGAGGAGGAGGAGGAGGAGGAGGAGGAGGAGGAGGAGAAGGAGGAGGAGAAGGAAGAAGAGGAGGAGGAGGAGCAGGAGGAGGAGGGGGAGGGGGAGGATTGCCGCTACGCTGCTCTCTCTATCCCCCAGCACACCCTCGAAAACCATGACGACCGCGAGGAAGAGGTTGCACGACACCTGCTGGCCGAAGATGCACTAAACGGGAGCCACAATCAGCCGGGTAGACCTCAAGCCAGTCGCTTGCGAGCATGAGGATCACGGTTGATCGTAGCTGCCTCGGCACGCCCGTCTTGAAACAGAACACGTACCGTGCTGAAAGCGTCCGTATCAATACGTTGCGCGCTGGCCCAGCGCATTGGCCCGCGTTTGGGCGATCGTATCGCGTCACACCTACGCTTGCAGTCTACGTGTTGAGCTCCGTGTCAACACGCCACGTGTTGCGTGCTGCAGCTGCAGGTCGGGGCAGCGCAACTGCTGATGGCAATCGGCATTCGGGCCTTGCGGCTTGACAGACGAGGAGGGGGAGGAGGGGGAGGAGGAGGAGGAGGAGGAGGAGGAGTAGGAGGAGGAGGGAGGAGGAGGAGGAGGAGGGGGAGGGAGAGGAGCAGGGGGGGAAGGAGGAGGAGGAGGAGGAGAGGAGGAGGAGGAGGAGGAGGAGGAGGGGAGGAGGAGGAGGAGGAGGAGGAGAGGGGCAGCGCAACTGCTGATGGCAATCGGCATTCGGGCCTTGCGGCTTGACAGACGAGCACGGCTGCTCCCGCGAGACCTTGAGCGGTGCCGCCCGAGAAGGCGACCGCGCCCACTGCTCGTGCGGAGGCCGCCCGCCGCCTTCGAGAATCCCGAGGGGGCGTTCTCGCCCAGACCACGGCAGACCGAGGACGACGGGGCGGCGAACGCGAACCCCCCCCCCCTCCCCTCCTTCCTCTCCTCCTCCTTCCTCCTCCCTCCACCTCCTCCTCCTCCTCTCCGCCTCCTCCTCCCCTTTTTCCTCCTCCTCCATTTCCTCCTCCTCCTCCCTCCTCCTTCTCCTCTCCTCCTCCCTCCTCCCTCCTCCTCCTCCTCCTCCTCCTCCCTCCTCCTCCTCCTCTCCCTCCTCCTCCCTCCTCCTCTCCTCCTCCTCTCCTCCTTCCTCCTCCCTCCTCCCTCCTCCCTCCTCCTCCTCCTCCTCCTCCTCCTCCTCCTCCTCCTCCTCCTCCTTCTCCTCCCTCCCGTCTCAATGATGCGCTGGGCTCTAGTTGGGTATTCGGGGGAGGACGCACGGGGCGCCTGTAAAGAGACCAGTGGTCTCCGAAGAGCACCTCCCCCGAGCCCTCTGGAGTAGGCCTCCTGGGCGACACAGGCAATTCGACGAGGTATATACCTCCACAGGGGAGCGTCCCGGTACAGATGTATGGGGGTGAGCCTTACCCATTCCCGCACGGTTTAATGTCTTGCCCATACCATCCAACAGTATTTCGCTACAGTAGCAGGCCATGCTGGTTATTAATATTTCTCTCGGCTCCCATCTTGCCCTGCCGCTCGATCCCCTTCTTGCCGCGACTATAGATTCATGGCTTGCTCTGCCATTCTTGGTTTCAGGCAAGCTTGTCCGTGTGTTTCTCTCATGGCATTCTCGGTCCATACTTGGTTATGACTTCATCCGCTCCCAGTGCAGCCGTCCCAGCGCATTACTTCATATGTTTGTTTGTCATGTATCCTTCCTGTTCTCCCATGATCCCAGGCTTGCGATATCTGTTCGCACGAGGTATTGGCTAACATATTCCTGATTCGCCTCTTGCTATCGCTTCCACACCCCATGTGAAAAATTCAAGGTACCTTTCTGTCCTCAACAGGGTCCTTGACATACCAGCCGTTTTTGGCCGCTCCGCGAGCGAGAAATCAATGGACGCAAACGAGGGAGGTATATTGCAACACAGTGGCAGCATATATATATATATATATATATATATATATATCACAGCCTGCCTCTTACCTCCAGCATTCCATGCTCTGCCCACTCCCGACACGGCTCTTCCTATCCCATCCATCCTCTCTCTTGCAGCTCGCCTCCTCTGCGTTCCGCTTTGATCGGGCGTCTTCTCATTGCACCTCCCCCACTGCCCTGGCCATCCCGTTCGCCTTCCGTCCCCTGCATCTCACCTCCCGTCTCCAGCCTTGCTGCCCGCGCCCGTCTCCGCGCTGTTGTCTGACGGTCCCGCATCCCGCCTCCTGCCTAAATCTTCTCGCCTCTTGGTTCCAGCATCTCGCTTCCCGTATCCAGCATCCTGCATTTCGCGCCACCCGATCCCAGCATCCTGACCTCCGTCTCCTGCTTCTCGCCCCCGTCGCTGGCTTCCCATCTCATTCTGCCTAAGAGATATATCCCCACAATCGAGCCTACCCTGAGCGCGCTGCATGGACTCCCTGACGCATCCTGTCCCCTGCATCGAGAATATGCCTCTTCGTCTCTTGCTTCTCGCCTTGTCCCCCAACGTCTCTCTTCCGCCCTGTCGCTGCCCGCCCTCCACTCTCGATCCCCATGGCTTCACCATTCCAGCCAAGCACCTTGCCTTTCGTTCCAGCTTCTCGCATGCCGTCTCTTGCATCGCTCGCCCCCCGCAAGCTGTGAACCGCCTCCAGCGTTAGCATTCCTGAAACCGGAAGGGCCCAGCCCGTCTTGGGGGGAGAGAGTAGGGCGCCTGGCGGGCTGGAAAAATCTGAGACCAGCGTCAGGCACAAATGGGCCCGGACAATTTCCGAACAGACCGCCACCCGCGGGTGCAAATGTTCAGACATTGTCCGGGGCCACCCCGCTCCATCTTCACAGTGCATGACGCTGCTGCAGCTGTACACCACATGTGCCCCCGACGCTGGAAAGACCCCGAGCATGCGGTGGCGACCAGCAAGACCAGCGTTGGGCACTGGAAGGCGACGGTAGAGAGAGTGTATATAGTTTGCACAAGATAACGGCGACGACGGCGGAAGCTGCAATCGGCAGCGCCAGGCCCCCTTGCATTTGCCCTCATCCGTCTGTCGCCCCCCCCCCGTCTCCAAGATTCCGCCTCCCGTGCCCAGCATTCCGCCTTCCGCCTCATGCATCGCGCCTCCCGTCCCAGGCACCTCGCCTCCCGTCGCCTGCACTCCGCCTCCCGTATCCAGCCTCTTGCCTCCCGTATGTAGTCCGCCACCCGATCCGAGCATATTGCCTTTCCGCTGCCGCCGTGCCAAATCATCATCTCCGCACGCCCTGGGGCGATCCCATGCCTTCGCCCATCTCCCGATCGCCACCCTCGCGCGTCTGACCCCCCCGTCCTCAAGCGCTGCGGGCCGCACGTCCAGTGGCTCAGAGCCGCGTCGCAGAGTAGCGAGCGCCCCCTGCCTCCCGCTGGGTTGCGGCACGTCCTTTCTTCGCGCCGCTCCCCTATCGCCATGATGGGGATGCAATCCCACCACGTGGACATGCAATCATGCCGTAGCCTCCAGTGGGATCCGTTCCCCCAAGGCTCACGGCTTATTATTCGGCGGGCGCCCGGCGACGCGCGCCAGGGCCTAAAGGAAGAGTAACGTCTTAGAGTCCTCCTCCTCCTCGTCCTCCTCCTCCTCCTCCTCCCCCTCCTCCTCCTCCTCCTCCTCCTACTCCTCCTCCTTGCGAAGGAAGGGAGAGGGGGAGGGTGGGGATGCGGTCAAGACGCCTCCCAGGCAAACTGTTCGGCACACGCCCACCCGCCCTCCCAACACCTGCTCATGAGTAGTGCCCGAGTCTCAGCACATTCGGCGGCCCTCTCTCGATAATCAGCTTCTGGGAACCAATACAGACGCCAAGTGCGCGACGCTGGGGCGAGGTGCGCCACGTGTGCCAGGTGCCACGCGCACCAGGCGCGCCAGGCGCCCCCAGGAGCGGGAGGGAAAGGAGGCGGGGGGGGATTCGGTCAGAATCCACTGTAAGGACGCAGGGCAAGGACGCAAGAAGAAGAATAGGTGATTGCAGTGCCCGGCCAGAGGCGTGTGGGCCTCCGTGGGCGTCTGCACGATAGCACATACGACTAGCACGCGGTGGCCCCGGGGCCGCCCGCCTCCTCCATTGCAGTTGCACGGCCGCCGTGGCCGCCCTCCTCCTCCTCCTCCTCCTCCTCCTCCTCCTCCTCCTCCTCCTCCTCCTCCTCCTCCTCCTCTGGTGCGCGGCAGGGCAAGGATGCAAGACCCTTGGAAGTCGCATTCGGGCTGCGTGGACGTCACCGTTGGCCAGGACGGGCCGAAGAAGCAAGGATGCAAGGGTCGCCTTGACGAAGCAGCACATCCTTGCTATGGATGTTGACTGCACCTACTGAAATGAAGGGGAGACAAGGCCGGAGAGGCGGGGAGCCGTGAAACCAACGGGGGCGCAGGGTGGGGGGCACAAAGGGTGGGAGGGGAATGCGGCAGCAGCAGGAGGCGACGGAAGATGCTTGAGGAAAGCACGACTCAACATAAGCATCTGAGGTCGGCGCTGATTTCTTTGGTCGGCGCTGGACGCCCCCCCCTGGCGCCAGGGTGGGGGGCATAGAGGATGGGAGGGGAAGACGGCAGCAGCAGGCTACGGAAGATGTTTGAGGAAAACACGACTTAAGATAAACATCTGAGGTCGGCGAGAATTCCTGTGTTTGGCGCTGGAACTCGCCCCCCCCCCTGGCGAGCTCCGGGTGCCTGGGCAGCGGGGTCCAGCGCAGATGCGAGAACTCCGCGCAGGCCTCCAACAGTTGGTTTGCGCATGATGCTGTTCCTTGAGATATGGAAGAGCACGGCGGTGAAGCTGACGACAAGCGTGAAGCTGAAACGTGAGGACGGGGACGACGCGACAAGCATCAGGAGCAGTCGGGAGCAAGAGGAGCCGCAGGGGAATGATAGGGACGCGATACAGATTCCCAACAACTCCTCCTTACACCTTGGCCTCCTACTCCTTCTGCACCTTATCCGTCTCATCGTCCAACGTTTCCTCACCGTCCTCCTCCTGCTCCTACCCCTCCTCCCCCTCCCACCCCTCTGCATTATCATCATCCGCATCAGCATAAGCATCGTCCTCATAATCATCACCATCATCATCACCATCGTCATCATCATCATCACCATCATCGTCATCGTCATCGTCATAATCAGCATCGCAGCCGCATCAAACTCATCATCACCATCAGCATCATCAGTATCACCACCATCATCAACAGCATCATCATCATCATCATCATCATCATCATCGTCATCATCGTCATCATCATCATCAGCATCATCATCATCACAGCCATCACCACCATCATCATATTCATAATCAGAATCATCATCACCATCAGCAGCATCACCAGTACAGTGGGGGCTCGGCCACAAGAAACCTTCGCAAGAAAGCCAACCCTGATTTCCGCGAATTGTTCGGTGGAAATCCAAATTTCTCGATTGAAAATCGTCAAACTCATATTGGGGGGGGGGGCCATCGCAATCCAAGAAACCCAGGGCCCCCTCGCAAAATCCCACTGATTTCTTGGCACGCGCCCCTACTGTATCATCAGCAGCAGCCGCATCATCGTCATCTGCTTCAGCACCGCCAACATCACCAACAAGAGCAACATCGTCACCACCACCACCGAAATAGACCCAATGATCGTTTCCGTAGATACCCCTGTCGCTCGCTCTCTCTCTCTCTCTCTCTCTCTCTATCGCTATCGATATGTCTCTCTCTCTCTCTCTCTCTCGCTCCATCATCTGTATGTATATGTATGTATGTAAATGCTTACTGTATCACCACATAAACAACCACACATCACAAAAACAACGATGCGCCTAAACAACTCACCGTAATCATACACACCTATATACATATATAGACATAAGGGATGTGAGCCCCTCTCTCACCTCCCCCTCTCCCTCTCGCTATATTGCTCTCTCTCTCTCTCCCCCCTCCCTGTCTCTCTCTCTCTCTCTCTCTCTCTCTCTCTCTCTGTCTACCCTGTTATCTCTTTATATGTATACACATATTCAGGTGTGCATATCTATATATATGTATATCCCGTCCCCTCTCCTTCGAGCACAGTCGCAGCCCGACCAACACAACTTGCTAGCCTTGCTACCCCCCCCTCCCTGCCGTCACCCCTCCCATCCGCCCTCCTTTTGTCGTGTCCCTTTCTCTCTCTCTCTCTCTCTGTCTCTCCCTCTCTATATCCCTCTCTCTCTCTCCCTCTCTCTCTCTTTCGTTTTCTAGCTAATATATATACATATATATATATATATATACTTTTCCCTCTCCCTCTCTCCTTCGTACCCCTGGGAGTGGGGGAGGGGTGGGAGCGGGAAGGGGGGCAGAGGGGGCCCGCACGGGCTTGCACTCGGCCCCCGCCCCTCTCCCAGGGTCCTGGCCCTTGGCGCGCGCGCCACCAGGGGGCGCCTTCGGGCCGCGGCCGCCAGGAGAGCGGGGGGAGGAGGAACGAGGGGGGGAGAGGGGGGGCGGGCGACGGGAGAGGGGACTGGCGGGGGGCGAGGGACGGGCGAGGGGAGGGGGACGGGCGAGGAAGGAGGGGGGAGAGGAGGAGGCGACGGGCGAGCGGAGAGGGGGCGGGCGAGGGGCGCAGGGGAAGAGGCCCCACCGCCGCGGCCCCAGCGGGCGCGCGAAAGTGCAACATCCTTCGAGGGGGGGGGCGCAAGAGGGCAGAGGAAGGGGGGAGGGGACGAGGGGAGAGGAGAAGAGGGGGGGGGAGGGGCGGGGAGAGGAGATGGGGAGAGGGGGAGGGGAAAGCGAGAGAGAGAGAGATGAGGAGAGAGAGAAAAAGAGGAGAGAGAGGAGAGGCGAGGAGAGGAGAGGAGAGGAGAGGAGAGGAGGAGGAGAGGAAGAGGAGGGGAGAGGAGAGGAAGAGGAGAGGAGAGAGAGGGAGAGAGGAGAGAGGAGAGAGGAGAGGAGAGGAGAGGAGAGGAGAGGAGAGGGGAGGAGAGGAGGGGAGAGGAGGGGAGAGGAGAGGAAAGGAGGGGACTAGAAATGATGATATAGAAAGCGACAGGCGTATGTTTCAAGATCTTTGTGAAAACAAGATGGAATCTGGTCAGCGGGGAGATACCTGACGGCGCATGTAAAGAAGGGCACGGGAGCACTGCAGGCCCCCGTGCCCCCGGGCCAAACAGGCAGCAGACAGGCTGGGTGAGAAACAGGCAAGGCAGTAGGAAAGGGAACAGACCTACCATTCGAGTCTGGTGCTCAAGCGAATCCGTCGCGCCTTCCAAGAAAAGAAGGCTCGACTAACAGCCCCTTCATAAAAAGTTGCCTCACGGGGGTGCGTTGACCTGGTTTCGACAGGTCTCAGTGGGTCGCCAGACTTCTTTCCAACCCGAAACAGTTTGGGCCCAATACGCCAACCGCAAACAACTTTTACGACGCCAGTGGCAAGGTTGGAAACTACTCCCGGTGGAACCTTCAAGACGAGCCGAAGCAGGCTAACAGATTCCCCACCCCAGAAACTGCGAGACTACTAGAGGAGCGCCTCCGAAAGATCCGCGGAGCTATGACAGGAGGCGCAGAAGAAACGAAAGACGCCCAAAAACTCTTCAAACCTGGAAGATCAAAGTTCCTTCCCCCCTCCCCCGATTTTTCCCAACCATCCTGTGGTGTTGGGTCCTCGTTTTGAAGAGACGGTGGCCCGCGTCTCCTCTCCTGCTTGTGCTCCTCGGTCGCCTCCATGTCGTCGTCGGCGCCCGCGAAGACGGCCACGAACGTGTACCTGAGCATGTCGGGCTCCGGCGGGAAGCCGTGGCCACATAGGGAGCGCGGGCGAAGATGGTATTCACAATTGCGGTATTCACAACTGCGTAACTGCGTATGGTTGGGTCCTTCGCCAGGCTAATTTGTTTTTCCCCCCCCTCTCCCTTGTCCGGCGGCGCAACTATGGCGGGGGCCCCGGGCCGCACGCCCGCCGGAGAGCGGGGAACCAGTCGGGGTCCCGGCGGTGACCATCATAGGCTCCACCGCTCGGCAGCTGCCACCATTCGGGGGCAAGCAAACCTACCTCGCTTTTGACCACCCTCGCTTCCAAGAGATACCAAGCGATGCCAAACTACGGCCTGTACTGGTCAGGCCGCTTGACGAGGAGGCGCGTGGTATGACTTGGTTTTGCCTGGAAGCGAAAGCGGGGTAGGTAATTTACGCTCTGAACCACAGCAGTAGCCGCGGTTCCACTCCCATCAGAACACCCATCCACCATGCCGTGAATAGGCACCAAAAAGGCCGAGGCACTCCGTACGGTCCCCCGACCAATGAAGACGGCCGTAGAGTGGGGTGCCCACTTACCTCCACAGCTCTGAACTTCATGCCTGAAGGTGCTAATTGCTACCATTTGGCGCTTTCCTCCCTCACAGGTTGGTAGCATGAACGCCAATGTCAAGCACTATGGAACACGTTAGGTCGTTGCACGATGGGAGCGGTCTTCGGAGCACAAAAGGCCTGTGTGGATTCTGCCTCCACCGGTAGAGGCCTCCAAGACAGGGTCGGAATAGATGGGGTCGGAGGATCGCGCCGCATCGCCGATGCATGGGCGACGCATCGCAAACGCATAAAAGATGCACCAGCAACGTCGGCGATACATCCGCGCAGGTCGGCGTGGAGAAAATCAGGCTCCACATCGAGCAGCATTGACGATGCATCGGCGATGCGGCGCGATCCTCCGACCCCATCCCCAGACATCGGGCTGCTCCAGTTGTTTCCATGCGTGGGCCCAGGAGGTCTGGACCACTTCCCTAGGGCCGGCTATTCACCCTGCGTCATTTTGTTGAAGCTCCCGAGGCCCGGCAAAGGCCCCTGGAGTCCGAAAACAGCCATACTCCGCCAGCTCGGCCTGCAAGAAGCATCTAAAAATGATAAATGCGTTGAGATGCGATCGCGCCCTGGTGCAGACGAGAAGTTAATCGTGTCTACTTTTCTGCAACGGCGACGAAATAGATATACATTTTGGATGCGCGCCCCCGGCCTGCACGGGAGTGCCGCCGTATCTAAACGTATTGATTTGTCAAGCATATCTAAAACATTGGGAACGTATCTGTTTTATCTTCCAGAAAACATGTGTATCCCTCTCTACTTCTCAAAAATGGCACTGCTGCGCCGTATCTATTCGTATCTAAACTCTGCCCGAAGGGATGCTGTTGGTTGTGTTCTTGGAGCAAACAAGATCTGTAGTACTGGCCGAAGCATGAGCAATGGAATGGGGATAATGGGAAGCCGTAGCGATGAAGAGTGAGGGGCCGAGCGACGACGACAAAGACGATGAGGAGCAGGGTGGGTAACAACGATGAAACGAGATTTAGGAGAAAACTGGGAAGGAACAGGGAACCGTAGGAGGGGAGGGGGAGGAAGCTGAGGACAAGGACGAGGAGGAAGCACCAAATCGAAAGCGAAGGGGGTGGTGCGGGGTGCGGGCGAGGAGGTTTTAGGAGGACTGGCGGAGAGTTGATGACGACGACGCGTTGAGGCAGGAGGAGAGGGACCCAGGAAACGGACAAAGGAAGAAGGAATGGGGCCCAGGACAAGGACAAATAAGAAGGTGGGGGCTACGACAGTACGCGGACGTGCGAAAAGGACGGAACAGGGGGGGTGCGTGGGGAAGTGCAGCGAGAACGAGAGGGCGGCGGCGAGGAGAAGCATCAGGGGAGTGCGAGGTGAGAGTGATTGTGCGTGTACGATTGGAGGGGCGAGGAAATGGTGGGACGATACGAGCGTTGAGTACGGGTTGGGACGGCGCGGAGGAGGAGTTGGAGGCGGAGGAGGAGCAGCAGCAGGAGCAGGAGAAGCAAGAGGAAAGGTGAGATATACCGGCGGCGATGGAGTTTCGTGACACTAGGGAATACAACAGACGAGGAACAGGAGGAGGAAGAGGAGCGGGAAACTTACGATCCTGAGCAGGAGCAGGAGCAGCAATGACTGGCGGACAGTGGGTGATGAGGGCTGGTGGCGGGGAGAACTGATCAGGAACAGGCATGGGCATCGAGTAGGTGGATACGGAATGCAGGTGAGAAGGATGAGGGGCGACTGTGGGGTGAAATGACGACGCTTCGGATGATGATGATGAGGAGGAGGAGGAGGAGGAGGAGGAGGAGGAAAACGAGGAGGAGGAGGAAGAGGGACAGCAGAAGGAGGAGGAGGAAAAGGAAGAGGGACGAGTGGAATGTGCGAGCGAAGTGCACATGGTGAGGATGATAAGGATGATGGTGATGATGCTGATAGCGATGATGATGATGAGGATAATGATGATGATGATAATGATCGACAGTACTTGGAAAAAAAGAGACGAGGGCAAACGGACAAAAAGCGAGAAAAGGGCAAGAAGTTCGCTCCTGCTCCCTGCCAGCTGCGCTACAACTCTTCCACTAGTATTGTAACTGTGTGGTTGCGTTACTCGCTGCGGCCAGTGCCGAGGAGTGAGCGCTCGTAGGCTTCATGTAGTCGTTGTCATGCAGAGCATTCTGATAAGCAGGAAAAGGCGGGATCGGGGGCAAAGGCGATACGGATGGACGCCAGAAGGGCGAAACAGGAGGGGAGCGAAGCGGGGACAACCAAGACGGGGAGGAGCGGAGTGGGGCGTGCAAGACAGAGTACACACGGCTAGCTACACCGACGGGGCTGGTCTCGGGAATGGCATCAGAAAGGGGCCTCATCTCCAGCGCGCGCGCGTCGAAGCAGTTCGGGTAGAGGTCGGGGCGAGCACCATCATGCAGATGCACAGGGCGCGCCTCGACACCAATGTCCTCAGCATCATGCAAGTCGGGACTTTCACGACAGGGTCGTTCACCACCAGCGGCAGCGTCATGCGAGTCTCGCTCATCGGAGGGAGGTTGTTCGCCACCAGTGGCAGCGACATGCAGAACGTGATCATCGAGACGGGGTCGTTCGCCCCCAACGGCAGCGGTATGCGGACCTCGTTCAGCCTGAGGGGGAAGTTCGCCACTGTCGGCAGAATCACGCAGGACGTGGTCTTCGAGATGACGACGCTCGCCACCATCGGCAGCGTGAAGCGGACTACGTTCGGGGTGATAGGGTTGTGCACAACCCGGAGCGGCATCGAGCAGGTTGTGATGGAAACTCTCACCACCAGTGTCAGCGCAATGCGGGACTCGTTCAGCGCGAGGGGGCTGGGCGCCTCCAGCGGCAGCAGCATGCGGGACGTGATCCTCTGGCGGAGTCGTTCGCCACCAGCGGCAGCGTCATGCAAGATGCGGTCTTCGGGTCGGGGTCGTTCGCCGCCAGCGACAGCGTCTGCCCACGCGCCGAAGCAGCGGTAGAACAGCCTGTTGTCCAACATGACGGCGCGCCGCATGGCCCGCCACCACTCGCAGAACGTCCTGGTCAGGATCGATGGCGCCTTCTTGGCACCGAAGCATCGCATGGCGACGTAACGGCTCAGTGACCGAGCC